TCAGTCGGCGCGGAGGACTCCAATCACGAAAAAGGAAAAGACGAAAACACACAAAAAAGTAACGACGCTGCTGCGGCCGCTCTGCCCCGCGCCGCTCTGCCCCGCCGTGCTCGCGATGACGGGCGCAGACTGCGCAGTAACGTACAGCGTAATGAATGCTAAGCGCGCTGTCGCTGCGTTTTTGCAGCGTGCCAGCCTCTGGACCTCGGAGCCCTTTCCCCCTTTCTCCATCCCGCGGTTGACGGCGTGCTCCGCGGCGCTCGTTGCTGGGTGGCGGCGGGAGGGTGCACAGTGGGCCAGAAGACCGGTGGAGGCGGCCGAAGTCCCCGACGCGTTTTGAGCTCCAGAGTCGCTAAACAGGACGGGAACCGAACGTGTGACCCCACCAATGGATTGCTCTGCGAACGAGGAATTCGTGGGGACTCTGGAGCTGAAAACGCGTCCGGAGTTTTGGCCGCCTCCGCCAGTCTCCTGGCAAGTCCACTGTGGGGCGGACGGAGGGGTACGCCGCGTCCCGACTCGACTCGCACATTCGCACGCCGGGAGTACACAACTTTACAGCCGCGTCGTCCACGTCGCCCGCGCGTCGCGAAAAAAACAAAAACGTGCACGGAAAAAAAGTCGTCATTTTGAGCCGCAGCAGCGAGCGCTTGCTGCTCGCGCTAGCTAGGCTAGCTGGCGGCCCGACCGCTTAAAAAGGCCCGCTGCTTTAGCTCAGCTGTGTTGTGTTTTGTTTTCGCGTTAAGGCAGCGAGCACAGCCTCGGCGCCATAGGCCAGGCCGTTGGGGCGGGCACCCGGATAATTTTCGCTCGCACACAAAAGAAAATTGGCGGGCTGTTCGTTCGGGCGCCGAGCCAGGCCGAGCCCGGCCGGGCGAAGGGCTGCAGGCAGGCTGCAGCGCAAAGTAGTGCACTTTACAGCGTAGTGGCCACGCCCACGGCTTTACGCCCACCACGTTGGCAACACCGCGGCGGACAGCGCGAGGCTACGCGAGGCGGGGCGGCCTCAGATCGCTGGACGCGACTCTGGGCGCCATTTGAGCTGTCGCGTCTTTAAATCGCTTTGAATTGAGAGGGTGTGCACATTCGTTATTCAAAATATTTTTCTGAAATTCATTTACTTTTTGACCATTTTTGCGAGACCACTGCTCCCAAACTATCAGCGGTCAAAGCCTTCCCGAGGCGGGGCATAAAAGAGTAGGGTCTTCAGAATAGTAAGGCGTCGAGGAAGGCCTTTGACCGCAACTAAATTGGATGCAGTGACCGCTCAAAGTCAGCAAAAACGGTGATTTTCTGAAATTCATTCACTTTTTGACCATTTTTGCGAGACCACTGCTCCCAAACTATCAGCGGTCAAAGCCTTCCCGAGGCGGGGCATGAAAGAGTAGGGTCTTCAGAATAGTAAGGCGTCGAGGAAGGCCTATGACCGCAACTAAATTGGATGCAGTGACCGCTCAAAGTCAGCAAAAACGGTGATTTTCTGAAATTCATTCACTTTTTGACCATTTTCGCGAGACCACTGCTCCCAAACTATCAGCGGTCAAAGCCTTCCCGAGGCGGGGCATGAAAGAGTAGGGTCTTCAGAATAGTAAGGCGTCGAGGAAGGCCTATGACCGCAACTAAATTGGATGCAGTGACCGCTCAAAGTCAGCAAAAACGGTGATTTTCTGAAATTCATTCACTTTTTGACCATTTTCGCGAGACCACTGCTCCCAAACTATCAGCGGTCAAAGCCTTCCCGAGGCGGGGCATAAAAGAGTAGGGTCTTCAGAATAGTAAGGCGTCGAGGAAGGCCTATGACCGCAACTAAATTGGATGCAGTGACCGCTCAAAGTCAGCAAAAACGGTGATTTTCTGAAATTCATTCACTTTTTGACCATTTTCGCGAGACCACTGCTCCCAAACTATCAGCGGTCAAAGCCTTCCCGAGGCGGGGCATAAAAGAGTAGGGTCTTCAGAATAGTAAGGCGTCGAGGAAAGGCCTATGACCGCAACTAAATTTGACGCAGTGGCTGCCCAAAGTCACAGCCAGACACAGATCCGTGCGCTGACACCATCATTCTGCAGCCTGCCGGCCTGCGCAGCCTGCACCATCGCGCTGCTCGCTGCACGTTCAAACAATTCACAGTGAAACGACCGCCAAGGGCAAGGGGGAGGGGGAGGGGAATATCATAATAATTTGGCGCGCTGCGTGGCCGGGCAGTGCCGGGCAGTGCCGGGCAGGCAGGCGATGCATTCCTCGAGTCCGATTCCAAAACAACGTCCCTCTGTCTCTCTCGCACTCCCGGGGGCGTTCCGAGCACTCCGTGCGGGTGCGAGAGAGACAGAGCGACGAGTGCCGGCCTGGCATCGCGTGCCTCTCCAGGCCGGCCGGGATTTAGACGCCAGCTGATGCACCTCGGCGACGCCGCGGCCCCTGCGGTCGCTCCGGACAGGGCAGGCAGAGTAACCGCGTCCGCCGAACGCTCTGCTCCTCGTCGTCGGCGTGGTCCTGGCAGCGCGCCGGCGCCTCCATTAGCTCCCGCGGACTGACTCCGAGAGCCGTTGTCGTCGCTCTGCCTCTCTCGCACTCACGGGGCGTCCCGTACAGGTGCGAGGGAGACAGAGCGGCGAAAACGACTCTCAGTGTGCTGGCACATCCTCGGCCGCGTCGTCGTCGTCGTCCACCTCTACACGCCTCTCGGCGAGGCAAAACGAAATGGCTCGGAAAATAGCAAAGGGTGGCCGCGGCGCGTCGGACGGCAAATGCCAGCCAATGCCAGCGCGGGCAGCACGCCACGCCAGTGTACCCACTGCAAAGCAGCAAAGCACAGGTTTCTCACACGGCCCGCCTAGCTGGCTGCGGCAGGCTGCGCTGGAGTTCGCCGTGCTTACGCCGTGCTTACGCTGTGCGCTCCGCGGGCGGCCAATCAGGCCTAGGCGTTCATGGCGAGCGCCGCGGACGCCGGCGCGGACCCCGGGAGGGAGGCCGGGGGAGGCACTGCACTGTGGGGGCAGTTGCGCCGTGCATCACGGCACCAGCAACCAGAACAACCCTCCCAAAAAAGTGACAAAAAGGTGCATTGAAAATTTTGTTGGGAAAAGGTTTTTAACAGTTGTTGGCAAAAAATTATGAAAGATTGATTGTTGAACAGAAGTGATCGCTATTGAAATTTCTTTTGAAAGAAAATGTATTTTCGTCCGGAAAAATTATTGGAAATTTAAGAAGAATACTGCGCCAGTTTGAGCCTCGGCGGGGAGGCCCAAAGAGCCACAGCGAGGCCGCCGTCAGGCCGCCCTCTGTTCCGTCAGCGCACGGCGGCGCACCGCGGCCGGGTTACCTCCACGGTTACACGGCCCGGCACACCGTGTGTGCCACACACCTGCTGGACCCGGTCCCGGAGTATGGACTTATTGGGTCTGGGGCCGGGTCCGCGGGGCCCGCCGGCCTGCCCGGCCTGCCGGGCCTGCCGGGCCTGCCGGGCTGGACTGGTTTCCGGGAGGTCACGCCGAGGACGGCCCGGGCACGACTTATTGCACCGCGTGCTTGGCCGTGCCTGGCCGTGCTGCAGCGTGCCTCGCCTTGCGTGCGGCCGCGGCGTGCGTGCGTGCGCGCCGCGCGCACAGCGCTGCACAGCGCTGCACGCCGAGCGTGCGTTGCGTGCACACTGCGGAAAGACGCTGAAATTGGCGAGCAATGCCTCATTTGGCGATTACACGTTTTACCGGCAGATTGGCGGCCCGGCCGAGCTGGCAGCCTGGCAGCCCGAGAGGCAGCCGGCCGCACCGCTACGCGCCACTGCCTTGGCGCTCCGCGGGGAAATGCTCCGAATCGCGGTCCGACTCATTCCGAGAGGCTGTTTCGTCGCACAGTGGGCCAGAAGACCGTCTCTCGCGCACCTCTGTGCAGAACACCCCGTGAGTGCGCGAAAGACAGAGCGACGAAAACGACTCTCGGAATCGGTCCGCAGGGGGCCGTCTCCTTCGACCAGTCCTCAACGTATTGGACGGCTCCCGGCCTCCGCGCCAGGCCGCCAGGCTCCGCGCTCCGCGCACACACTACCGCATGGAAATGGCTCGCCACGCCACTGTCCGCGGCCCGCCACGCCGAGGGCCCCGCCGGCCGAACCGGTCGCCACCACAAAGTCGCCTCATTTGTCCCCTATTATCCAGTCCGCCAATAAACATCTTCTGTTTCATTGCGCGGCCTGAGTGGGGTGGGGTGGCCCCGCGGACCGAGAGTCGTTTTCGTCGCTCTGTCTCCCTCGCACCTGTACGGAACGCCCCACGAGTGCGAGAGAGACAGAGACATCGGCCTGCCGGCGGCACGGCGACGATTCCCTGATTTGCAAGACGAGATGCCGCGGCATGCCGAGGGATGGGCCGGCCAGCTAATCGAGTCTCACTTGCGGCCCTTGGGTCCCTTCGGTCCTTGGGTCCCTGGGGACAGCGAACGCGCGTCGGGGACTCGCCTCGCCCTCATCAACGTGCATCGCATCTCGTTTGCCTCCGAGCTCTTCCTCTCTCCTTCTCTTTTTCGTCGTGCAGTGCCGTGGCCGCGTCGACGTGTGACAACCACAATGCGTATGCACAAGAGCACAGACCTACGCGCTCACGCACTCGACACGCACGTCCGTCCCTCGGTCTGTCCGTCCGTCTGTCTGTCCTGTCCGTCCGACCGCCCCGTCTGCCTGTAATTTCTTTTCAACGCTCACTGTGTGGGCAGCCACGTGCACGCAGTGGCACGCAGTCCTTGCATCACTGCTGAAATAATGTGCCCGACCGCTTAAGTGAAACACACCCAGAAAAGGGATTGAGTTAGTTCTCGTTCGCAGAGAGCGTCTTGTCAATAGTCGCTAGAGCTCAGCATCGCTCCACCACTGATAAAACCAAGGCGTAACATTCAGCCTTTCGTGAAGCGAACAAGACCTCATGCACCACACAGTTTCACCACTAAGGGACGAGATCACACTTTTCAGGCGCAGTCACAACATTTTGTAAAGCAATGACCCGGTCCTTACCAGGGCTGATTCGACACTTCTCCGACATCCTGTATCCTTTCCCTCACACCGCATTGGGGTGCTCGGCGGCAAGGTATCCAATCCGCACTAGATGCACTTCACTGCACACCACCACTCGCTCTACCTCACTCACTCTCACACACACGCACTTTTCCACCAAAACACACCACCACACAAACACGAAGTCGTTGTTTTTCGATTTCAGACACTAATCAGCGCACTCACTCATACACACACACACACACACGCGCGCGCGCGCGCGGGCGGGGGAGAGAGACGGAGAGAGGTCCCCGACGGACGCGTGTGGCGGTGCACTCGGTGCACGCGGGCGGGTTCGCGGAGCTCGCTAGCGGCGCGGTGCCGGGCGTCGCGACGGCGTGCTGCTCGCCCGGTCTGCCATCTTGGAGTGGAGCCTGGCCGGCCAGCCGCGGAGCACGGCGCGGAGCACGGCGCGGAGCAGCGCGGCGTCGAGCGGCGCGGCGGTGAAGGGGGCGGGGGGAGCGGCCGGGTACCGCAGGGCTACCAACCTCACGGCGCGGCGGCGCTGCGGCGCTGCCAACACCGACACACCGGACGGCCGCCGGGCCGCGCAGGCTAACGCCCTCCAGCAGCTTGAACGGTGTTCCGCTCTGTCTCTCTCGCACTCGACGGGCGTCTCGTAGGGTTGTGCGAGGGAGAGAGGGAGAGAGAGAGAGAGAGAGAGAGAGAGAGAGAGCAGCGCCGTTCGGAGTGCAAAGGCAGCGCGTTTCGGGAGTAGAGTGGCTGAATCAAAGCTCCTGAACGAACTTGAAACTTCCACAAGTTCGAACAGGCCGTGGCGATGTTTCCGCGCAGTGGCGCAGGCCGGCGCGCAGTGTACTCCAGCCAGGGGGTGTCCGTCCAGGACGACGGCTTCATCGAGCACGACGGGCGCACCGCAGGCCGTGCTGCAGTGTTGCAGTGTATCGGCCGTCACCGCCCGGGCGAACCCGCCCGACCTGTCACCCCGCGGGGCCGCCCGGGCCACCATAACTCTGGCCGGTCCGGAGTGAGTCCTTACTGCCGCCCCGCCCCGCCCCGCCCCACCGGTGTCGATGCGGAGCGCGATAGCGCGAGACGAGTCCCGGAACGCCACAGCAGCCCCCCAGCACACCCTCGGGACGAGGTGATTCCGCGAGGGAAGCCCCGTCGCTCCGTCTCTCTCGCACCCCCACGACACGCCCCGTGAGAGTGAGGCAGACGGAGCCTCTCCGCTCGCTGCCCATCCCCAAAGGCAGCTTGATTGCGTTTTTGCCGGTGAAGCTGCCGCTGCTTCGCCCCGGCGGCCACCGGCCATTTTTCCAACGCCCCGCGGCCCGCGGCACGGTGGGTGGTCCACGCAGGGCCACGCTCTAAGCTCCCCGTCCTATACGTCGTCCCTAGAATATCACCCCCTCCCCACCTTTTCCGCCTTCGCCCGCCCCCCGCTGGGCTCAGCGCTCAGCAGTTTCCAGTGAAATACCTCCCGCCCGCCTCATTACGACTGCCTCGTGTAAGTGTGTCCGTGAGTGCGCGCGCACACACACACACACACACGGAGGAAAGTAAACACTTTGTACACGCCGAGCCCCCCTCCGCCTTCCTCTCGCTATGACATCAGCTGGGGTTCCGCGCCGGTGCGTTAACGTTAACGCAGGCAGCGCGGCCTGCAGACTGATTCCGAGAGTCGTTCTCGTCGCTCTGTCCCTCTCGCACCTACAGGGAACGCCCAACGAGTGCGAGAGAGACAGAGCGACGAAAACGACTCCCGGAATAGGTCCGCAGCAACGCCACTGGCAGCGCTAAGGGCTGCGGAAAAAGGCAAAAACGGAGCAAGCGGTCCATCAAATGGCTGGCTTGCGCAAGCGGCTCTCGTTCAATCGGCCGGCCGGGCCGTTCGGGCGGTGCTTTCTTCGGCCTGTCTCTCTCGCACTCACGCGGGGTCACGTAGGGGTGCGAGAGAGACGGGGCGACGCGGTGCCAACACGTCGTCCATCAGGTTGGACAAGGCGAGGCCGACAGTGGGCCAACCGGCCAATGGGGAGCAAAAACAGCGCCAAACAAGGCAAGACTCATTCCGCGCATCGTCGCTCTGTCTCTCTCGCACCTGCGTGGATCAGCCCGCGAGTGCGAGGGAGACAGAGCGACGAGAGCACACCGTTCAGAATCGTCAGCCTGCAGCAAAAGAAGCGGGAGGAGAAATAAATCGGCGGCCGCCGTTTTTCGAAGCGAGCGGTCCTGCGGTCCTGCGGCGCTGCAGTGTGCTGGTGCAGCCCCGCGCGTGCTGGGCGGCCGGCGGGCCGCGCGTTTTCGCTTAGTTCCACCCCAACCTCCGCGTTCGTTCCACCGTTCCACGCCTTCTCCCGGTTTATTGCACGTCCAACGCTCCACGTCGCCCGTCGTTCCCCCGTCCACAGTCGGAGGCGCCTTACAGGGGAAATTTCCGAAAAACGGCGGAGACGGCGTTTAGAGCTCCTGAGTCGCCCGCCAAACAGGACTCGAACCGAACGTGTGGCCCCACCAATGGATTCCTCGGTCGGAGAGCAATCCGTTGGTGGGGTCACACGTTCGGTTCGAGTCCCAATTAGCGACTCTGGAGCTCAAAACGCGTCCGGTATTGGGCTGCCTCCACTGTGCGCCGCGCTGATAGGGCGCCTGCCGGGTGCCGGGTAGGCAACACAGTGCAGGCGAGTGCCGCGGCGGCCTACCTTGCAGGCGCTAGGCAGCCTGCAAGCCTCTTCAGAGCGGGCGTTGCTAACGAGTCAGAAGTGCGCTTCGTCGTCCTGTCGCACTCACGCTTCCTGAGGGTGCGAGAGAGACAGACAGAGCGACGAACCGCTCCTCTGAATCACTCGGCAGACCGCGGCGTGGCGGCGTCGCCGACGAGCCTCGCCCAGCGCAGCGGCTGGCTTGGGGAAGGCCCGGCACCGCACCGCACGGCGGGGAGCCTCATCGCTCCGTCTCTCTCGCACGCATGGGGCGCGCCGTGGGCGTGCGAGAGAGACAGAGCGACGCCGGCCATAAAGGCTGTCCACATCGGTCCCTGTCGCGCCAAGCGTCGCGCCGCGTCACACCGTCGCACGGCGCGTTCGGCATCGCCTCCATGATCACGCGGCAAGCAGCCGATCGCTCTGTCTCCGTCGCACTCATGGGGCGGCCCGCCGGGGTGCGAGAGAGACAGCGCGACAGCGCGACAGTCGTCGGCAGAGGATGTAGCTCGACTTGGCGGCAGCGGAAACCCCACCCGACGCACCGCGCCTTGCCCCGCCGCCGGGCCACCACACCGCAAGGACCATAAGCTGCAGGGAGCCGCGCCGCCGCCGCCTCTACAGCGCGTCGCGACGCCTAGCGGACCCCAGCGGGCCCCGCGGACAGTTGGATCGGATCCCAGTTCGGAAACGGTGGCCAACGCCATTCCGGCCAACAAAGGAGGGAGCGTGCCGCCGGGGGCGTGGCGGCGTGGTGCGGCGCGGTGGGCGCGGTGGGTCCAGCTTGTTTGTCACTGCGTGCCCACCATGCCCACCCGCGTGCCGCCATTGGCCGCCAGATAGCCTCGGAAGAGGACCCAACGCCAGCAGGCTGCGGGCTGGGGCCGAACAGTGCTTTCGTCGTTCCGTCTCCCTCGCACCGTGTGGCGTTCCGCGGGCGTGCGAGAGAGACAGAGACGCGCTTTGCTGCGCTTTGGCTGCGCTTTGCAGTGCAGGCCCATTTGAATGGACTGGGCGGCGCGGCGCCTCCAACGGGGAGTGGGCCCGCAGTGCGTCTCTCTCGCACTCACGGGGCGCGCCGTCCAGGTGCGAGAGAGACGGAGCGACGAAGCGCTTTGCGGGCTGCAAGTGCTGCATGTCGCTGGGCTGCCTGCCCTATTCGTCATCGCGGTCGGCGCGGTGCTGCGGGTTTGCAAATGGCAAAGGCTGAGCCGTATAAACAAACCCGCCGGCCTGCCGCGGTGCCTGCAGACTCTCTCTCTCTCTGTCTCTCTCGCGCCCACACGGGACGCCCTGTGAGTGCGGGAGAGACACAGCGATGAGAACGATACTCTCGGAATCAGTCTGCCGAGCGAGCCCGGCCGCTGCCGCCCCGTCGCGGTGACACCCTGGACAAGCAGCACACGGCCTGCATGTGTGTCGTTAGCGACGCGCGCTAACGGGACCAACGGGACGCCGGCCGGTACGCCACACCGCGTCCTGCAGGCCGTTGTCCACCCCGCCGGCCTGCAGCACCGCACGCCGCCTCGCCGCCTGGCCCACTGTGAAGCGGTCCGAACGCGGGCAAACTAGGGACCAGGTCAACTCAGGCTCGGACTGGCCCCCAAAAGGCCCCGGCAGATAAGACGGCAAAAGGCCCCCGATCATCATAGTTTTTACCCTTCATGACCAACTTTGTGAGTCTACCGCTCCCACACAAGTTGCGGTCAATAGCCTAGGCAAAATCGTTGTGGTCAACGTCTTCCCGATACAGGGCATGAAAGAGTAGGGTCTTAAGAATACTAGGACGTCGAGGGAGGCCTTTTACGGCTACTAGATTGGACACAGTGGCCCCCCAAAGTCAGCAAAATCGGCAAATTTCCGAGATTCGACCACTTTTTGACCAACTTTGGTCCCAAAATCGTTGCGGTCAAAGGCAAAATCGTTGTGGTCAACGTCTTCCCGATACAGGGCATGAAAGAGTAGGGTCTTAAGAATACTAGAGCGTCGAGGGAGGCCTTTTACGGCAACTAGATTGGACACAGTGGCCCCCCAAAGTCAGCAAAATCAGCAAATTTCCGAGATTCGACCACTTTTTGACCAACTTTGGTCCCAAAATCGTTGCGGTCAAAGGCAAAATCGTTGTGGTCAACGTCTTCCCGATACAGGGCATGAAAGAGTAGGGTCTTAAGAATACTAGGACGTCGAGGGAGGCCTTTTACGGCTACTAGATTGGACACGGTGGCCCCCCAAAGTCAGCAAAATCAGCAAATTTCCGAGATTCGACCACTTTTTGACCAACTTTGGTCCCAAAATCGTTGCGGTCAAAGGCAAAATCGTTGTGGTCAACGTCTTCCCGATACAGGGCATGAAAGAGTAGGGTCTTAAGAATACTAGGACGTCGAGGGAGGCCGTTGGCCGCAACTAGATCGAAGCAGTGGCCGCTCAAATTCAGCGAAAACGGCCACTTTCGGAGATTCAATCACTTTTTGACCAACTTCGTGACGTTACTGGTCACAAATCCAAAGGCCCCGGCAGATTTTTCTGCCTGTCTGCCCTGGCCAGTCCGAGCCTGGGTCAACTTAGGGCTAACTTTTGAGCAACTAGGTCCGCCAGGGGTAGTGCCGGGCCGGACTTGGCTTCGCCGCTTCGCGCTCCGCCACTGTGTCCCAAGCAGGCCGAGCG